GAGCCCAGGAGTTGGAGGTTGCTGTGAGCTATAATGCCATGGCACTCTACCCAGGGGGACAGCTTGAGGCTCTGTCTCAAAAAAAAAAAAAAAAACAAAAAAAAAAACACACCTACGTGGCATCAGCTGTATTGAAGGCTCTCTTCATGGTCAGGAGCGGCAGCTCTCACTCTGCAGAGCCCTCTTTTAGTTGTCTCCTCTTGGCATCCACTGGGTCCCATGGGACCAAGCAGCTGAATGGCACCGCTCCTTGCCACCCTCCTGGGTTCAGCCTGGTGGTTGTGGGGCTATAGACATGCTCTTTGTTTACCAGTATAACAGTAGCCATGGTCAAAATAGGGCAGATTATTTTCTGGTTTACATAGTGCTTAGAAGCCTCTTGTCCCTAGAATGCTTGGTGTCATCTTATTGTAATAAGTGCTAGTTTCTGCTAGCAGCAGCAAAATTTATACATAAGGTTTGTAAAGTGAAAACAAAGATGTGAAATAGCCAATGCCAACATATAATTTTAGTGACTTTTTTTTTCCAGACAAAGTTTCACTGTGTCACCCTTGGTGAAGTGCTATGGCGTCACAGCTCACAGCAACCTCAGACTCTTGGGCTTAAGTGATTCTCTTGCCTCAGCCTTCCAAGTAGCTGGGACTACAGGCACCCACCACAATGCTCAGCTAATTTTTGGTTACAGTTGTCATTGTTGTTTAGCATGTCCAGGCTGGGCTCAAACCCACCAGAACTTCGTGTATGTGGCCAGCGCCCTAACCACTGGGCTACAGGTACTGAGTCCTAACTGACTTTTTAAAAAGAAAAGTCATTTTGACAGTAATGAGATGCAAATAGTGTTTTGTGGATTGTCTGGATGAATGGGATACCTCAGGGCTAGGTGGCTTGTCCTCCCTTGCGCAGCCACTGTCCTGTTGCTGGTACTGGGCCTGGCACCTGCAGCTGTTCTCTGCACTGACTGGCTTGGCCCTGGCCCTGCGTTTCTGGAATTGAACTATACTCCTTAACGCGCACACGTCTGAACCTGCAGACCAAGCCTGTGGACCCGACTGTGGACGGGGGTGCCCAGGTGCAGCAGGTGGTCAACATTGAGTGCGTGTCTGAGTTCACAGAGGCTCCGGTCCTCAACATTCAGTTCAGGTAAGCACCACCATAGAGTGTGGGGGCACCCACTTTGGGTCTCAGTGTCCCTCCGGAGCATGTGCTGTGCAGTATCAGCCACTGTGGCCCCATGGCCTTCTGGAGCACAGGAAGTAGAGGGAGGACTCTGGGTGGCAGGACATTGGTACCCATGGTGGAGCTTTGGTTGCTCCCTTACAGCTAGGCTCCTGGTGGGACCTGTCCTGAGAAGCAGAGGGCCCACCCTTGGGTGGCAGACAGCTGCAGGGTGGTGGGCAGCTGCTTTCTTCTAAACCATGATTTTCAACCTTCCTAATGCCGTAACCCTTTAATACAGTTCCTGTGGGTTGCAACCCACAGGTTGGGAACTGCTGCTCTAGACCCTGGTCTGTGGATGTATTTGTGTTGAAACTACTTAATTACTCTCACTTTTCAGTGAGGGCAATGCAGTGTCCCCTGTTGGATGTCTGCAGGGTTAGAAATGTTTGGAAGAACCCATTTTCAAATGTTCAGAGTATAGAGAACTTAAGATTGTATACTTTGCAAAATTTGGGGGAATAGATATGCAATTTTTTTTCATTCTGTAGACAAGTGCTATTTTTTTAGCTGGACAGATGGGCTTTTCATGGAAAAAACCCCAACCCTCACAATTTACACAGACTTGGAGTTTCAGGAAAAGATGAATTGAGAAAAAGTGCAGTAGTTCTGGTGAAGGTGCTGGCCCCCCAGGGCCTTGGGCTATGGGGCATGGAGCTGGGCTGCCCTGAGTGGCCCTTGGTGGGTAGGGATACCTTTCACCAGTGGCCTTTTTTTTTTTTTTTGAGAGAGAGTCTCAGGCTGTCACCCTGGATAGAATGCTGTGGCGTTATAGCTTATAGCAACCTCAAACTCTTGGCTTAAGTGATTCTCTTGCCTCAGCCTCCCAAGTAGCTGGAACTACAGGTGCTCGCCATGATGCCTGGCTAATTTTTTTTTTTTGGTTGCAGTTGTCATTGTTGTTTTAGCTGTCCTGGGCTGGGTTTGAACCCGCCAGCCCCAGTGTATGCGGCTGGTGCCCTACCAACTGAGCTACGGGTGCTACCACCAGTGGCCTTTTCTTGGTCCCTGAGAATGTGCCCTTTGCCCTTTCCAATATGCTCCTGCTCACAGGTATGGGGGCACCTTCCAAAACGTGTCTGTCCAGCTGCCTATCACCCTCAACAAGTTTTTCCAGCCCACAGAGATGGCATCTCAGGATTTCTTCCAGCGGTGGAAGCAGCTGAGCAAGTAAGAGGGCAGGGCCTGAGGGAACTGGGTAGGACAGGAGGGCGGGGCTGGAGGCAAGTGGGCGGGGCAGGAGGGTAGGCCTGAGACTGGCAGCTCCCATTCTTGGAGGTGCTTTGGTCTCTGGCCTGGCACACTTAGCTTTGTGGCCGTTGCTCACAGTCCACAGCAGGAAGTGCAGAACATCTTTAAGGCAAAGCACCCAATGGACACAGAGATCACCAAAGCGAAGGTAAGTGCTGGTGACAGGCTGCTCTCAGGGTGGGCGCAAGACCTGTGACCCAGCATGATATCTCGGTTCTCCTGCTTCTTTTGGACAGATTATTGGGTTTGGTTCAGCACTTCTTGAAGAAGTTGACCCTAACCCTGCCAATTTTGTGGGAGCTGGCATCATACACACCAAAACCACCCAGATCGGATGCTTGCTGCGCTTGGAGCCCAACCTGCAAGCCCAGGTTAGGCCTGTGTCTCTTTTCTGCATGATTTACATGCAGCAGTGTGCGTAGGGCTTCAGCATGTCCTGTGAGTCCTGACGGTTGCATGTGCTCCTCTGTCACTGCCCATCGACCACATGGTGTTTCCACCCCTGAAAGCTCCCTCGTGTCCCAGCCTCCACTGCGGGGACTACTGGGCTGGTCCTAGCACAGGGTAGGCCTGGGCTTTGTCTTGCTTGTGGCTGTGGCTCATGGCTTTTGCCAGCCTCATGCTGTTGACACCCTGGTGCTGCTGCCCATACCAGCTCCTGCCCTGTCACTGAGAGCTGCTCCTTCTCATGGAGGTGCCGGCATGTGTCCAGCTCTCCTGGTGGACTCGTGTTTTCATGCCACTGGGTAACACCAGCTCATAGGGAAGGTGCTTGGTCAGCTGGGGAGGGGGCTTTCAGGTTGCTCCAGAGTCACCATGCCAGATGCTGCACGTTTGTCAGCACTTGCTGTCCTCAGACTTCCTTATTTCTGTGCTGACTGGATGTGTGGTGCTCGGGCCCCTGCACAGCCTTGTGCCTCCAGGGAGGGGCTGTGCTAGGGCCTTGGGTGCCTAGACTGCTCACTGACCCACTGTACTCTCTTTCAGATGTACCGACTCACCCTGCGGACAAGCAAAGAAACTGTTTCCCAGAGGTTATGTGAATTGCTGTCAGAGCAGTTTTAATCAACAAGGACAGAACAGACTCATGTGTTTGTGCGTTTTTCTTCATCTCCTGACTGTGTTCGTTACCATACTGCAAATACGTATCCCTTGTCCCCTCCCAGCCCTGCCTTTCCAGACCTGTCCCTCATGGGCTAGACAGGAACACGCACCACTGTTCAGGAAGGAAAGCTCAGCCTGCACTGCACTGGCTGGGTCAGGAGGAGTGTGAAGACAGCTCTGTGGTTAAATCTACAAATTAAAGGGAGGTTAGAAGTTTGAACGAAAATGGAAATTTTGTTGACATTTTATTGACCTGCCACTGCTCTGTTGCTAATCTCTGATTTTCTGAGAGTGGCAGCATTGTGGTATTTGCTGTGGGGCTAACCCTTGGCTATTTGGCTGTCCTGGTGGGTGACTTGATGCCCTTGGTTGACCCTGAGTGGCCACACATGGCAGTGTGCTGTGATGTCCTCGGGCCTCTGGGAGGAAGAGCACAGTAGTTCATGTGGGTTGGCCACTTCACCAGCTAGACTGCTTTTCTGGGCAGGATTTTAACCTAGAATTGAAAAATCGTTTGTGTTTTTAACGATTGTATTGGTGAGAGCACGTTTTGGCTAGGTTCAATTCTGTCCTCCTTTTCTCAGGACCAATGTTCTCAAGGGGATGTGTGAAATGTTCTTATTGCTGAGATTTTAGACCTGTAGTTTGGTGGGAGGAGTACTCTGGGTGGCTCCGGAGGGGGTGCGCATTGTTCATCTTGGTTCCAAACAAACGTGCTGTCCTCCCTGCTGTGCCCGAGGACCTGGAGGGTGAAATATGGGATGTGGAACAAGGCTCCAGAAGGTATGCTGTCTGCTCCCTGTCAGTGCAGGACCTCCAGGGCCACAGTGGGGTGGAGGAGGGAAGCCTCTGGTCAGGAAGTGAGAGGCTGTGTGCCAGGTGGCAGCCCCTGACCACACTGAGCAGCTGTCCGCCTATGTACAGTGCTTGCCCGTCATCCTGTCCTCAGCACCCAGGCTTTCTGGCACCTCAAGACCGAGGAGAGTGCAGCAAGCTCAAGAGGCCCCAGGAGCCAAGGCCAGTGCTCTGAGGTTGGTGCAGACAGAGGTGGAACCGATTTGTCCTGAACACATAGCTGCACCAGCCCCTGATGGTGCTAAGGGGGTGGGAAGCCAGGTCAGCCCTGTGGTTTGGCAGAGCCATGCTTTTTGCTGCCTGATGTGCTGCGTGGCTCAAAGCCTCCAGCCGTGAGGGGCATGAGAGTGAGTGGCCACATATGTGAGGTACTGCCTCTCCCCCCACCCCACTGTTAGCTCCTGCTGTGCAGGTCCTAGGGGCAGTTGCAGGGTCATGTCCAACCCAGAGTCCTGGTGGCCCCATGCTGTGAAATCTGTGTAATCTGTGTGTCTCATGTTCCATCCAGCATACTGGACTTGGGCCAGAGGGGGAACAGTATCAGAGTAACCAGCACCTGCTGTGCTGGCTCTTCTATGTCCTGTGGCAGCCGTGGTCACTGGTGGTGCCCTTGTGTCTAACCCAAACCAGCCACACTTCTGGGCTGGGCTGTGCAGCTGGAGGTATGTCACCGTTCCCCTTGTGCAGGCTGCCAGACAGCACCTTGTTGCCAGTGTGTGCTCAGGCTCCACTGCATGGGCCCAGTGGACAGCCAGGCCTCTGGAGCTTGCTGATAAGTTACCTACAGATTAGTGGGATGATTCCCTGTGTTATCAGCCCCTCCCATGAGCAGAGGAGAGGCCTTCCCTGTGCACTGCTCCATAGGTGGGCCCACCAGTGCAGTGTGCTCCTTGTCAAAGAAAAATAAACACTAGAACATAGACCTGGGTCATGTGTGTTGTCTTTGGGGACAAAACATCCTACATAAACCTAACAGCCCTTTGGGCTATGTGAGGTGCTGGGTCCTAATGACCCCAGAGTGTTGCCTGCCTTAGGGTGGCTTGTCCTTAAGCATGTGGGTGGCATCAGAAAGTGACATGGCCTTTGCTCTGCCATGTGATTCTGGTGTGTGGTTGAGGCTTTTGGGCCTTGGGCCCCCCACTCTGCTGTGTGCACTGGAGTGCAGCACCCTGCAGCCTGCTGAGTTGCACATGTTGCAGCGTGCAGGGAGGCTCTGAGGGGCAGACCAGGGAGGGGGAGGATGGCCCCCGAGGGATGGTGGGCTTCAACAGAGAGTTGGGACAGAGTTGGGCGAGGGAGGAGAAGGCCCGCAGGACACAGCCCTGCCATGGTCCTGGTGTTTGGTGAGTGTAGTGTGAGTTGGGATTCAATCCTGAGGGGATTGGGAGGCAGCAAAAGCAGTGCTACAAGACCAGCGTCTGTGCCTTGAGGAGAGCCAGTTTATTTGGAATCTTATGGGCAGGCACTAGGCCCTTCCTGAGGACACTCTGTGATAGGCGTGGGCACTGGCAGCTGCCACCCTGCCTGTTCTCAGGAGCCCCCTCTTTAGTGTATACCTGAGCCTCCTGCCCCACCATCCCTGCCCAGGTTACCCCCCCAACTTCTGGTCTGAACTGGTATCTGCCCTGGGGACTGCTCTCCAGGAGCCTGTATCCTGCTGTGCTGGTGGCTACAGACAGACCTGGCAGAGTCCATGGTCCCTGCCTGCCTGCATCTTGCCCTACTGGGTCAGAGTCAGCAGGAGGGTGACTGGTCAAAGCCTCTGTCCAGAAGCCTGTCTATTCAGCGAAGCCATGTCCAAGGGTCCTTCCGAGGCCACACCTTGTGGCCAGGAGAGGGGCTGCCAACTGGAGGGGTGGTGGTATTGGTGTTTGTAGTTTTTAATCTGCAGCCCAAGAGAGCAGGCAGCATCACATCTAGGCCCTGCAGCCCCGGGGGCTGCATGCACAGCTGTTGAACACCTGGAGGGTAAGCATGAGCCGCTGACCAGGCACACTGGAGTCTGAGCAGGGTAGCTCCAGCTGCTGCTCGTAGAAGCTGAGGGGATGGCAGCAGCCGCAATGGGTGTCCACTTGCTGGGTGTCAATGTTGAAGCTGCCGAGAAGCCAGGGCAAGGCAGGGGTCAGGGTTCAGAGATGCTGTGGGGTTCCCTCCCAGAAGGTTCCTCCCATCCCCAGGTCTGGGGATATGGATCCTAAGTACCCAGGCAAGGACCTGGCCAGCCTGTAGGTGCCAGGGCAGGGGCTGTAGTGACGGGGCGGAGTGGCCACCTGACTGGTGACGTAGGCCTGGGCTATGTATGGGGTTGGGAGTGGTAACTTGGCCCCAACTCTGACATAGTTCTGCAACTGGACACTTTGAGTACCATTTCCTGTAGTGGGTCCAGCTCAGGCTGAGGCTGGATGCAGGGAAGGCCTGCCATGGCTCACCTGGTGGAGGAAGCACAGGCACCCTCACAGCGGGTCATGGTCACGTTGGCTGTGCATCCCTTGAATGTGATCTCCTCCTGCCATTCCCGTACACTGCAGGCTCCTGGAAGCCAAGAGAACAGATAGCTGAGCTGGGGCATGGGGCTCCCCCTGCTCTGGACATGTTCTGCCATCAACCTTCTGGATTCTTGCAGAGCTCAGGCCTCAGCTATGCATAGGAGCAAAGCCTGCCAGCCTCTTGGTTTGTGTCCTTTCCTCAATTGGTATGGTGGCATCACTTAGGTGGAGGGTTTTCTTAGAGGACACCAGAAGCTAAGCCCTGGGCCTCATGAGCTAGACTTGTTCTCTTGTCTCTTTCTCCTCGAGGCTGGTCTCTGACCTCTGGGCATGGGTATCGTTGGTCTGCTGGACCCAGGACCTACACTAGGCTGAGGACAGGGTGTGTCAGTGTCCCCACTGGGGGCTCCCTGCACCCCAGCTGCAAGAGGATGGAAGTAGAGCATGCCCCATGGTCTAGGCCGTGAGAGGCTGGAGGAGCCCAGGCCAAGTGGGAGCCCACACAGAAGGCCCTTTGACGGCTGGCGTTGGCAAGCCCCTTGGCACGTGAGTAGCACTAGCAAGGCAGATGGATGCAGACAGTGGCAAAGCTGGCATTAGAAATGGCCAATGTGGGCTGGACATGGTGTTTCATGCCTGTAATCCCAGCACTCAAGGACGGCTTGCGCCTAGGAGTTCGAGACCAGCCTGAGCAAGAGCAAGAGCCGTCTGTGCAAAAATAGAAAAATTAGGCTTGGCATCTGTACCTCAGCAGCTAGAGTGCCAGCCATATATGCCAGAGCTGGCGGGTTTGAATCCAGCCTGGGCCTGCCAAACAATAATGACAACTACAACCAAAAAATAGCCAGGCATTGTGACAGGCACCTATAGTTTCAGCTACTTGGGAGGCAAGAGAATCGCTTAAGCCCAGGAGTTTGAGGTTACTGTGAGCTGTGACCCTATAGCACTCTATGTAGGGTGACAGCTTGAGACTCTGTCTCAAAAAAAAAAAAAAAAAAAGCCACATGTGGTTGTGTGTACCTGTAGTCCCAGGTAGTCAGGAGGCTAAGAGAGGAGGTGCCCTTGAGGCCTAGGAGTTTGAGATTGCAATGCGCTATGATGCCGCCACTGCATTGTGGTTGGGGCAACAGAATAAAAATCTGCTTCAAAAAAAAAAAAGTGGCAATATTGAACTTGAATTAAAAAGTTAAGAAAGACAGTTAGAGATGAGATACTCTGCCTGTATGCTCCCTGGCTGCACCCAAGTTCTCTTGGTACCCTGTCTAGCCCACTCCTCTGGGAGGGCTTTCTCTGGAAGGTAGAACCCTGTTGCCCCAATGGTCCTCCTGACCAAGCCTATGTCCCCAACTGTGTTTTTTTGGGCCACCTTCCGAGTAAGCAGCTTGTACCTAGGGAAGGATCTGTCTCATCGAAGGACCCAGGTTAACATTGTGCCAGCCTGCAGAGGTGAGCCGTCACCCTCAGGGAGATTAGAGAACTGGCAGTGTTGCTGGGTTATCGTGCCTGGGTAAGATGTAGGTACTTGAAAGGAGCACAGTCTCCTGGAGGATGTCATGGGAGGGACATGGCTTGGGGTGGGGTGATAGGGCTTGGGCAGGTATGCTCTGTCCCCATGGCCTAAGGGCAGTGGACTTGCTCACAGGCCAGAGGGTGAATGGAAGCTGGGAAGAACTGTGGCGAGGAGCTCTGGAGTGAGCCCTGTCTTTCTGGCCAGGCCCTGCATGCAGTGTGTCCCCTGGGATAAGTGCCTGCTGCACTGACCACCTTCTTCCCTCTCTGCAACTGGAGGAAGGGTTGCACTGCTGGAATCCAGGGCCCTGCTAGTCCTAACATCCTCTGAGCTCCCGAAGGGACAGCTATGGAAGATTCTTGGAGGTATTTTCCAGCAGGGAGGCCAGGACTACAGCAGGGATTGTGAGCGCAGTGAGCCAGTGCAAGAAAGATACCATCTAGGCCCAGAGAGGAAGGAGCCCAGATGGGTGGCCAGGTGCCTATTGGTAGAAGGCACCAAAGATAAAGGGAGAAAGACCTGAAGCTGTGGCTAGGCAGGTCTGAAACAGGCCTCTAGACCTGGGCCACCATGGGGGCCTAGAGGCAGGCACAGGCAGGCACATGCAGGCAGGCCCTGCACTGGGGAGGGGGGCATGTGAAAGGGCAAGGCTGCAAAAAGGCTGAACACTGAGAGACTGGGGCGTGCTGCAGAGGCCACTTACCAGGTGTGCTGTATGGAGGAGTGGTGACCAGAGAAGACGAGGAGGCAGCAGAGGCAGCTGTGCTTCCATGTGGACTGAAGGAGCTGCTTGGGAAGATGGAGGTAGGTAGCAGGGTGTTATCAGGGTGCCTAGTTGTAAAGGATGTGGCTGGAGAACTTGGGGTTGCCGTCAACCCTGAGGTGGAAGACAGGGAGCTTGGGTGGGGGACTTGGGTGGTAAAAGCAGTAAAATGCCGGGTGGTGGCTTGAGAAGAGATTGCAGGAGTAGGGGTATGGGCAGTGGTCCTGAGTGTGGAGGAAGACACTGAGGTGCTATGGGCTGGAAGGTGGGACTCAGTGGGAAACAGAGGGAGAGGGGGTGTGGAGGATTGAGCAGAGGGGGTGAAAGAAAGGGTGCTATGGGGCAGAGTGAAAGAAGGGAAAGCAGACGTAGACATAACTGTAGTCAGAGGTAGAGTAGAAAAGGGGGTGGGTGAGCCTGAACTCAGAGTGAAGGAATGCACGGGAGTAGATGAGGCAGTGAGGGAGGTGAAAGAATGAATGGACGACGTCCAGGTGGAAGCCTGGGAGGAGGACCCATGAGCAGACGCAGATGATGGGGACAGAGAGGAGGGGGAAGTGGTACTGGGCAAATGTGGGGATGGAAGCAGAGAATTTGTGGGTGAAAAAATAGTGGTGACAGAACTAGGGTTGGGGGAATGTGGGGTAACAGACAATGAAAAAGGAGGAGTTGAGCTGGAGTTCTGTGTCAATGAAGGGGAAGAAAGTGAAATAAGGGAGGAGGAGGTTTTGTCTGTGGTGAAGGGGCTAATGCCTTGGCTGGTCATAGTGAATGGTGAGGTTGAGACTGTGGCCCTCGGGGTTGTAGTTGGGAGCCTGGTAGCCGTGGCTGTTGGTCTGGAGGTGGAGGTGGAAATCTCTGAGTGTGTTTGGGTGCTGGCTTGGTGAGCTGTTTGAGTGACCAAGGAAGTAGAGCTTGATGGAACGTGAGTGGGAAGTGTGGTGTGGG